TACAGGTCAGAAGCTTTGGAAGTTCTGGTGAATTGCCCTCCAGCTTTCCTTTTTATAGATGAACTTTATGACTTTACAGTCTTTATCACCTCCGATGCCTAGCTGCACAAAGTGGAAATTCTCCTCATCTTCACACTCCATTGTAAACCTTATATCAGGATGAAGACTATTCAGGCCTTTTATTACTTGAGATGCGTCATTAAGACAATCAAAAATGAAAAGCATGTCATCGACATACCTGGTATAGAAGACCGTTTGATCGATTTCGGACTTCATTCTTTTTTGTCCCAGGTTGTTCATGAAAATGTCTGCCAGAATCGGACCCAGTGGACTTCCCATAGCGACTCCATCTATTTTGCGGTACAGGACATTGTTTAATTGAAACTAAATGTCTTTGGTACACATTAGCAGCACTCCTCTGAGTTCATTCTTTGCCAGACCAATGCGATCAGAATGTCCAAACTTAATTTGTATTGTTTCTCCTAGCAGGATCTTTGTAAACAGTGAAGAGACGTCAACTGATACCAGGTATTTATTTGAGAAATCTGGATTCTCTAATTGTTTAGCGAGCTGAAAGGTGTCTCTCAAGCTACAGACAGATAACTCGGAACGGATTGGCTCCAGCAGTTCTCCTAGCAACCGAGATCCTGCGTGACATGGAGAAACAACCATAAATGGTATTGGTCTCGTGGGAACGTTGGGCTTATACGTCTTTGGTAAGCCGTAAAATTAAGGTAATTTGGACCCTCTAGGCTTCAGTTCATTAAATGTGTTGTTGTCAGTCAGCTTCTTCATCAAACATTTTCTTAGTTTCTCGGTATTCCATTTTCCATCGATTTAGCTGGATGTTTTTTCAAATGGTTAATTCAAATGATAATATCAATTCCTGATATGACTTTTTGCACACAGTCGTCTTTGCCCATTATCACAACACCCGCTCATTTTTAAGGTCGGAGAATAAAGATAGAGTACCTATGTGCAGTCTATCTGTTCATAACGACTTGCTCTGTAACACTTCCAAAATTCACTCTGACCACTATTTATTCATCAGTTCTACACCTTCGTATTCTTCCATGGAGGTAAAACTCTCAGAAGAGGAATGTAGACAAGTCCACTGATAAATATGAAGAAAACAGATTCATCGGGAATTCACATGAGAGGAGTAGTCACAGAAAATGAAGAAACAGTGAATGACCCACCGATCTATTAACCATTCCAATTTCATCCCAACAAACATCTGTGACCTCGAGAGGCAGTTGTGGCTATCACTAATATTTGAAGCAGAAAACCACTTTCTGACCAACAGAATATCGAAATCACTGTCAACGGATGCATGAAAACTATTACATAAATGAAACTGTCACCATCTTCACAAGTTGCACTCTTCATATATCTGCCATACACCTAAGATTTTCTATCTAGTAAGAGAGATATTAAAGTAATCAGGATGGGAAAACTATTTCTATACGTCATTTGTACCTAGTAATAATAATAATAATAATAATCACCACATACTGGTCAATAAGTTTCGCTTTTGTACTTGTTATTAATTAAATCTTGAACTCTTCATTTCCATTCTATTCATATCCATGACAACACTTTGTGGATGTGAACTTCTGTATTGTATGCAGCTATTCAATTGTTCTCTAAATGAAAGGGAACATCTTACTGATGAACTCAACATAAATGACAAAAGAAATGATTATAAAAATTTGGAGTTCAGATCTTAAATAAAGGTCTCTTTGTATGATCAATTAACTCTACTTGTGTTTGCCTGTGTTCTGTGTGGTGAGGAGAAAGCAATGCTGAAAGTGACTGGCTTCACACGATTTCCTTAGAGATTCCTGGAGCTGTAGGCTTCTTCAAGACTTTAGGGCTGTTGCATGTAGATACTCATAGTAGAAACATCTCAGGAAACGGTTCCCTCCGATCACATCCATAGCTTCATATCAGTACAGTACAGTAAAATGTAGTGCAGTCGAGTACAGCGCAGTACAATGCAATACAAACGAAACAATGTCTTAACCACAGTAAAGTGAGACAAAGTATTCAGTAAGAAGAAGAGGTTGTCATTAAGAGTCATATCACGAATTATTGACTAGTGGTTTGAATAGATCTACTGGAATTACGCATCAGTCACTCAGCGACAGCTACAATGACAGCTCAGTAGAGGTGAATCGCTGCTGATCGCTGAATCAATGTGTGCACGAAACATCAGCCGTTTCCGTAAGGCTATTTGTAGCACTCATACATGAGAGATTTTGTCCTGTACACACAAAACACTTTGGTGGAGAATAAGGATAAGCAAATCAACGAGTGATTCTTCCATCTTGTCTCATTCATTTGATGGTTAGTCAACAGCAGATTGAAATGAAGAGGACAATCTCAGTAGTTTATAGACCCGTCAGTTCTATGCATACAAGTGTGTGATTAACTGAAGCTGAAGATATCGGATTCAAGAAGAGAGGGAATAACCTGGACATTCATAAAGTTGTATTTCTCGTCTATGTATAACTGGACTTTACACCTCGATTCTCTATGACCTATTACTCTACTCGAATAATGAGTCACAAATGGGATGAAACACACGACCTGAATCTCTGTGCCAGCCACCATCAGCCAAGTATCATCGTGGTAACCTGAACACAGAAGTGGAACCTCTGTTGTATTGAGGAACGACGTGTCAACCAACGCAGAACAAGCATCTCAGTCGAATACAATCGAGCAATAGAAAATCCGAATATAATAATTCCAGCAAATGATAAATGCAGAGTAAAATAAAAATTAATTCTTTTAAATTTTAATTTAATTTTCGATTACAGCTTGATTCCACACTGTATTTTTGGTACAAGTATGGAATTTTCAGCATGGATATCGGTAGCCCAAATTTTCCAGGCCGACCATAGATATCAGGTGTGCTTCGTCGGCAGGGGCTCGAACCTCGGACCATGTGTATGGTCGGCGACAGTCCTAACCACTGTGCTACCGACGCACAAATACTGGGCGCAATTATTCCACTTTATACAATGAAGAGGATGGAACGGCTTGGATAAACTGAATTCCTCCTTCGACTATATTCTGACGAATGGACTTACACTCCTGGCCACTTGGCATAGCTAGAATTATGCAGTACTTCTTATCACCAGTCTCAGTCCATTGTCATGAGCCTATGAATGAGTAGCTCAGGCAGTGCTGTATTCATCACTCTGAGTTGTTTACTACCAATAAACACTGTATTTCGACATGGGAAGAAGCATCGACTTCAAGGACCACTATATCAAAATATTGCAGGTTGATGGATACAGAGTGATGACGTAAACATTTCAGTTGTCATATAAGATCAGATTTTGATCAAAACGAGGGACAGGTAATACTTAAGATGGAGTGACTAGCCTCCTTGTAGACACCAGGCGCCAACTGACGGACTGAGATTAAACGAGTCTGTACGTGTTTACTCAGTGAGACAATATCACTTGCCTACTAAAATGCTAGCAGCTAATCTGCAATGTCACCAAGGAGGATATCATTCGAATAATCATGGATGGCGAAGCTGGGGAGAACTGACAACAAAGTATGACCATATATAATCACTCTGCTGATTATGGATGGTGACGATAGATGGTTACATGTCCTCAATCTACGTGTGGTATTTTAATGTACGGCTTTGATGATGATGATGATGACGGCGATGAATATGATGATGATGATGGCAGGATACTCAGGAACATGTATCTATCTCATCCACCTTAGAAACGACAGCATGGGACAACGCTATTCGAGAAACGACATTTAGTAAAATACACAAAACCGATAGATTTACACATCAGGCTGATAGTCACACTCAGAGTTCGACAGACTGAATCAGTAACAAGTAGTCAATCTAAAAATTCACGAGGGTGGTTTCAAATATATTGACTCTGGGATCAACCACACACAGTTCTCAAGAGAATAACTCAATCCCATTAGATTTACACACTGCTGCCTTTGTCGCCCTACATTGTTATAATTATAATAATTATTATTATTGCCACTTCATGAACAACTCACTGTCGCCTTCATTGCAAGCGAACACTCGTTAAGCTTTGCACCTATGATGGGGAATAATTCTAATCCGAAACAAGTTCCTCCACCATATTGCAGCAAACAATCCGCTTACAGATAGATAACATTCTGCATTCGAGAAGTTACAATGACCAAAAATAGTTCATTACCACTTACTTTCAAATTCTCACTTTACGATCTAAAATTCACATCAAAATCGATCGAATCGACCTCACTGTCTGCATCATCCACCACTTTTAATTATCAACCTTCTTATCACTTCACATCCAGAAGTGACCTGTGTCAACAAGCACAGGTTCCATTAAGCTCTGAGCCTTATCAAACCAAATATTCTCAGTTAACTAAAAGAGTAAACAGGTAGATCAAATGTACTATTATATACTGTGGTCAAAGGAAAAGTACTTCTCTCTTCATATAATGAATGTCTTCTATAGAACAGGTTGATATAAACACGTAACCATGGCCACTTTTGTCCTAATATTCTCACTGAATTTTCTTCACCCTTACAAACTCCAAACAATGATTGGACATAACTGGAATACAGAGAGATGGAATAAGTAGGAGACTGTGAATTTTCAATTAATGAATACCATTCTCTAATTTTTAGAAATCCTGTCACAACCCCACCTGCCACCTTCACACCCTGTATGATCCCAGTCTTGGTAATATATGCAATGACTACACGTACACTTGTCGGTGTGTATAGGAAATTAATTAATCAATTAATGAAGACATCTGAGCAGATGTTTATCGTTATAATGAAGCTTATGCCTTATACACTCTACCACTTCCTCCAAAAAAGACAATTTTCTCTCCACCTGAATACAGCATACTGATGAACACAGTTCTCAGTGTAGTTGTTTCTTAATTTACAACTGATACATAATCAAATGTTTGTTTATCTTTGTGAATGAGTTTGAGTGTGTTTGTGTGTGTGCATGTGTTTGTCTTTGTTGGTAGGCAGTACCCATGAGTACACTGATGTGATGTCAAGGACACTCTATGATACCTATTATATTGCAGTTACTTCCTTTTGTTCTCAAGATCCAATAACTATCTACTTTGAACCATTTATGAAATCTCCTAACCAATAAATGATGAAAGAGGGAAATAGTACACCTATTTAAACTGACAATCTTTTGAGTGTACTCCGAATTCTCATAAAATACTTTTTACCTCATTTACAACTGTTTCAATTGTCACTATGCGTGAAATAGTGCATATACAAATTGGTCAATGTGGGAATCAGATTGGATCCAAAGTAAGTTCCCTCTGTAGCTAAACTAAATTCATGTTGATTGTCAGATGAAAATTTATTTGTGCGTTGGCAGTTATACTCTGAATGCTATAGAATCATCGCAGCATCCACTATGAATTATGCGCACACGTTGACTCCCTTATGCTTGTTGGTTTGCATTTCTTAACACTCGACAAATTCAGTTAACTACAGTAGAATATCACTAGTAAGGTGTATGCAACGACACGTATCCCAGTGTCGGTACACAGTGTCTACGAGCGATAACAATAGAGAAGCAAACTGTCTTCAATCAGTGTTCACTTCACAAATTCAACAGTGATTATTTCTCAGTTACTTTTCAATATCTTGACCTAGAATTAATACTCTGATTAAACTCATTTGTCATTCATTCATTCATTCACTTATTGGAAAAGTGCATTGTATTTATGCGTTTCCCTTCAACCGATTACCACTTACAATTAACTGACATATATGGACAGTTTGAACAATCTAATGCCCACATGATGGTAATGATTATACGTCTTGATTCATTCATGTGACTCAGGCCTCCTAATAGTAGAGAGTGTAACTTGGTTACGTGATTGGGGTCTCTAGGTTCTTTGAAGAGAGCACGGTTCCAATGCAATGTGGATTCCATACAAATACAGATACACCTCATCGTCGAAACGAGAGGAACAAATTGGAAGTATAAGAAAATGTCTGTGCTTCAATTTCGCGATGCTCATCGGTTTCACACACCTCACAATATATATAAGATGAATAAAGTGAGAACATACATGTTCAGCAAGACACTGTTGTGAGGATTGTGGTTCAGGGGAGCGACAGTAGATGAAATGTGATGGCATAATCAGTTACAAATGAAAACGGAAATAAAGAAGTCATTTATTCAAATGAACTCTCGTCAAGATTTGACAGAATAGTTCTAAAATATTTGGGCGCCGAGTGAGAAGTAGACATTTGTAAAAAATTTATACTTGTAAAATCTCAGCGAGATTGAAATGAGTAATTCCAACGTTTCGTTCGGAAATCTGGTCCGAACTTCTTCAGGGAAATTAATCGAAATTAACATAACAGAGGTTTATATATAAAAGGAACATCTCTTGTTTTTAAAAACTTTGTCCAATCATGAGTCATGAAACAAGTATTAGCTAGCATAATAAACAAAAAACTGTATGAGCTATGATCAAAATTTGACCTCGGACTTACAAATATTGGTCTACTGTTGTTAAACATTTTAAACACATTGTTTATATATATGTGTGTGCGAGTAAACAGTTGTAAAACAATTTCTTTACGTATCCATAAGTAGATATAGACAGTCGGGAAACTTTGACCAAGCATTATTAATTAGTGATACATATCCATTCTTATTTATTAATCAGAATTTCCTATGTGCATAGGTTTTTGTTTATTATACTTGTTGATACTTGTTTTATGACTCATGATTGGACAAAGTTTTTAAAAACAAGAGATGTTCCTTTTATATATAAACCTCTGTTATGTTAATTTCGATTAATTTCCCTGAAGAAGTTCGGACCAGATTTCCGAACGAAACGTTGGAATTACTCATCTCAATATCGCTGAGATTTTACAAATATAATTTTTTGCAGAAGTCATTTATCATATTCGGTTTGCAGGAATATTCGAGATGTTTTGGAGGTTGACTAAACACAAAGACACTAGACGAGGGCAAACATTCAGGGTGAAAATATGGTGTATAATATGCAGGTAATCACTTCGAAATGATTAGGAATCAATTGAGTGAGTCAAGGTGAGTGGGTCAGGAGAGGAGTTAAGCTAGCTGATGTATTCATTGTAAAACTACAGAGAAATGACATGAAATCAAAATCTACAGTGGGAAAATAAGCTAACTTCTACCCAAGATATGTGGATGACTTATTCTTCATTTGCAAGGAAATGGGACACACTTGGAAATTATTCCAAAACTCTACACCGATCTCAATTCACTTGATTGATTTCAAATCATCTCCAAGTGCTCACTCGTGTATGATTAAGTAGTATGCGTTCCCTTACTAGTCTCTCGTCTCTTAGTGTATTTTGTGTTGTGTCAATCACCAAAATATCTCGAATATTCCTCCAAGCTGATTACCACAAATGACTTCTTTATTTCCTTTTTCATGTGTAACTGATTATGACATCACATTTCATGTACTGTCGCTCCCCTCAACCACTGTCCCTACGACAGTGTTCTGTTGAATAGAGGCAAAACGGTGTATGTTTTCACTTTGTTAATACTCAATATATTTTGAGCTGTGTTTAGTTGATGAGCATCATCGACCTGAACCCTGCTCATCTTATACTGCAAATTATGTTGTCCTTGCTTTGACCAGATGTTCGATGGGACCCATTGTCAAGGTACATCTCAGTCATGAATTTCATGCAGAAGAGACTGTGTGTTGTGTATTGATGTTGTGCTCTGAACAAATAGCTTGTATTATTACCGGTATTCTCCAACTGGTAAACATGAATGATTCTAGACAATAGAGCAGCTATCAGAAATCGCATTGTCGCTGTAGTGGGACTTACATATTTCCCACTCCAAGCAAATACTTGCATCACTATATACATACATACATACATACATACAGAAGTGTATTTCAACAGGTTGAGTCCTCATTGTCCCTTTTCAGAGAACGGAGTGAAGTGTAAATATTTTTTTTTGATTTATTTTGATTACAGCTTGATGCCACACCGTATTTTCGGTGCAAGTTTGGCATTTTCAGCATGTGATATCGGTAGCCCAAATTTTGCAGGCCAACCACTGATATTGGGTGTGCGTCGGCAGGGGATCGAAACCCGGACCATGTGTATGGTCGGCGAGATTCCTAACCACAGTGCCACAGGCCAATAGGTTGCTGAAGTCGCACAAACAATGCGATATATAACTAGAAAAGAAAAGACAGCTAAATGTCTATCTTCTATAGGTGGTCTAATTGCTGACTATCCACTGAATAACTATGTGTTTGGCCTTCGAGGGGTGATTTAGTGAGAGAGACTAGAAAGGAAATCGATCAGAAAACGGAAATCCCGAATGTCATATTACACCAACTTATGTAGCGCTAATGAAGCCCTATGTTCCATTCGGGACCAAAAGTAATAACAATGATAATGTGATGGAGAGTCATTCAGTACAAATATCGTCACCTTTACTAGTGTTCACAAACATAACTCAACACAGTGGAGACTGACATTTAGCAAATACACAAGCACCTACACTGGCATGTTTTCTGCCTACCTGTGATATGAGTGACACATGAGTGGTCAAGTATGTGGTCATCATTTGAAGTCGACTGCATCCCTGAGATTTATAGTTGCACAATATGCATTAACGGACTTCTCCTGTAAAATATCGAAATAGATAAAGAGAAGGAATAAAAAGGAATCGACGGGAAGGTTAACTGAGGGAGACTAGATCCACGATAGCAACAGAGGTCACAACTGTTTCTTTTCAACGTATAGTCATTGGTCCAAGGCATACCCATTCCTAAAAGAAGTGATTTTGACACGTCAGTAGTCGATTTGTAGTTGTACCACAACAATGTCTCACTATGCAATAAGTTGGAAATGGTCAGACGCATCATCACATGATAATTTGGGTGAATTCACTGAAAAGAATATTCTGCGTTCAGATTGACTTCCAGTGCGAGAGATAGTCACGACACGAGCCTACTGACCATCCAGTCATTGGGTTGTAATCCAATCATCACTTGTGAACTGTACCTTCTGTTAATTCGAGATGTAGACATTGAGACGGTGGATTAATCACCTCGATGAGCATCCGCCACACACTAGATACGCTGGACACCACCAGTACCACCACACATCTGAGTGAAACTTTAGGACATCCATCCTGTAGCTGATAAGCAGTGGGAGATTGATATCCACACCCATTAATGTATTCAACCACCCACACCCTCATAGTGATCAGTCATCACGAGAAGAAATTCGATTTTATATTTGTAAGAAATGATGACAATAAATCCACTGACAAGAATATCACCTATCCTTCATTCATTTGATGACATTCACTAGTTTATTCAGTGTGTCATGTGAGTGGACATACATTCACGTCATTCTTCATTTCTAAATGACATTGGTCGACTAAACTTGTCGACATCAGGCAGACAGTTTATACAAAGTGACAAAGTAATTCTCATCGTTCATTATTAAAGTGTATCGCCATCTGGGTATTGTTTCCATTGACTGAATATTTCACTTTACTCATTTTCAGTTTTGGGAGGTGATTTCAGACGAGCACGGTATTGATCCTGTGGGGACGTATATTGGTGAATCCTCACTTCAACTGGAAAGAATCACAGTGTACTACAACGAAGCCTCTTCCGACAAATATGTACCACGTGCAATATTAGTCGATTTGGAGCCAGGAACAATGGACAGTGTTCGTACAGGTCCGTTTGGGAAATTATTTCGTCCAGACAATTTTGTCTTTGGACAGAGTGGTGCTGGAAATAACTGGGCTAAAGGCCATTATACAGAAGGCGCCGAACTCGTCGATTCAGTCTTGGATGTGATGCGTAAGGAGGCGGAGAACACGGATTCCCTTCAAGGTTTCCAGTTGACTCATTCACTTGGTGGTGGAACGGGTTCAGGTATGGGAACACTGTTGATCTCGAAAATCCGTGAGGAATATCCTGACCGAATAATGAACACATTCTCTGTTGTCCCGTCACCCAAAGTAAGTCGCATCAGCTCAACATTTTAGCGTAGCATTGAACCGTGTTAACTATGGAAATAATGTGTCTGACACAAATTTTAGACAGTATAGAAATCTATGTCGAAGTGTGCTAATGTCAATATTTTGTATTGCTGGTCGGATGTGTTCACTTAATTCTATGCATTTGTGTGAGGGATATTCTGAGTTTCTGATAGAATACCGAAATACAAGCTACTTTCATTGACAGCTATAGTTTAAAGCAGTATTTATCAGTCCAGTCAGTTTATATGATCAGGTGACCTTTAGCTAACTCATTACGACTCAACTCAATACCACTTAGGCATTTCAATTCAAATGAACACGTAGTGTTCATACACACTCATATTTATCTACAGGATATTTCTTCATTGTACACATGAAATGTTCGCGAGCAATCATGGGACCGCTTAATTACCACCAAACTCATTCAGCTTTAGACCAGTCATCAATCCTAGTTGTAATTCCACCGACATAGCAGGAAGAAAGTAAATCCATGAAATGCATATTCTAACTATTGTTAAGAGATGAAATCAGTGAAGTGTACAGTAATCCACAGAAATTGAAAATGTAAGGTGGTACACTCCTTCAACTGCCTCTTGAAGGTGGTGTACTCAGATCGTCATCCGCTGTTACATCCCTGATGTCAGAAGAGTCGGTGACTGGTAACAATTGGATAAAGTTATCGAGAGTTCATCTGGGAAATACCAGCCCCATCGCCTAACCTGCAGAACAGCTATTCAGTATTCCATAAAACAGTCGGGAATGTAGGCATCTGAATGCATTCTAACTATTCACCCCTCTCGTCTGAACACGTCTGCACGAACTCAATCAGTGTGAATGCAGTGTGTTTTCTGTTCATCCAACCCCCTCCAACATAGAGAGTGAATTCAATATTCACTCGTCATCTAACAAATCACTCTCATAGAGCACAGCATTATACTTCAATATATCACATATTCCACATCAGTATTCCAGTCATTTCAAGTGATTGGAGACAAATGTTGAGGTAGTAGACTATTTATTATTCAGTGTCTCCATCGATTTCTCAGAGCTGAATTATACTCACACACACACACACACCTACACATTGTTAGAGTGATAGCCGTAGAAATATCTCAGTCTTGCCCCAACCAGTCTGACGCTAATTAGCCTCTTTGTCTACACCCCCACTGCATTTCATTACATTGTATTGCATTGCATTGAATTGAATCATAGAATGTGAAGTGCATTGCAATAACTGCTGTTTTCCTTTTACAACAATAGATGGTCTAGAACATAAAGCTTGTAATTTACGCCTGTATTTTCCAGGTGTCAGACACCGTTGTCGAGCCATACAATGCTACACTGTCCGTCCACCAACTCGTCGAGAACACTGATGAGACATTCTGCATTGACAACGAAGCACTCTACGATATCTGCTTCAGGACGCTGAAATTAACCAACCCGACATACGGCGATTTGAATCACTTGGTGAGTGCGACGATGTCGGGAGTGACAACGTGTCTTCGATTCCCTGGTCAGCTGAATGCGGATCTACGCAAACTGGCGGTGAATATGGTGCCATTCCCACGTCTTCATTTCTTCATGCCTGGTTTCGCTCCACTCACTAGTCGTGGGAGTCAACAATACCGTGCACTCACTGTTCCTGAACTCACACAACAAATGTTCGACGCGAAGAATATGATGGCTGCATGCGATCCAAGAAATGGACGTTACTTGACTGTGGCCGCCATCTTCCGTGGTCGAATGTCAATGAGGGAAGTTGATGAGCAGATGTTGAATGTACAGAATAAGAACTCGAGTTATTTTGTTGAGTGGATTCCGAATAATGTGAAGACAGCCGTTTGTGATATTCCACCGAGAGGACTGAAAATGTGTGTCACTTTCATTGGTAACACCACAGCTATGCAAGCACTGTTTAGAAGAATCTCTGAGCAGTTCACTGCGATGTTTAGACGTAAGGCATTCCTACACTGGTACACCAGTGAGGGCATGGATGAGATGGAGTTCACTGAGGCTGAATCCAATATGAATGATTTGGTGAGTGAATATCAGCAATACCAGGACGCAACGGTTGACGATGAGAATGACTCTGATATTGAAGGGCTTGAAGTAGCCTGAACATTAACTGTTAACCTCCTCCAATATTAGTTCGACTGGACGTCGACTGTTTAAATCCACTGCTTTGTTGTTGTAGTTTCTTTATTGTCGTTGTGTTGTAAATGATCAATGGCTTTAATTTACTCATTGTCTCAATTTCCTCTCGAAGCGTTATTTACACGACAACTGAATATTTAACTGTCTGACACATTAATTCTGTGTGCACTGGATTTCTTTCACTGTGCTCTGTGTTGTCGTCATTCTTTTCTCTCTCTCGTAACATGAATTACCGAATAAACTCTCCAGCTCAAAACTGCATTTTGTCTACCTGCGAAATTTGTAATGTCAAATAGTTGGATTTCCTGCCTTCTGCAGTTGTAGCAATACTTGACAGTTGAGAATCGAGAGTGGAAAACTCAGTCTCACTGTTTGTATCGGGACCTCGCCTAGTTTACATTCTGTCCGTATTCCCGGAAAACAGTCTATGTTGGGAGTAGGGCTGGAAGCACCACTCTGTATGAAACCACCCTATCACCAGTGACACTTCGAAGCATACTAAAGTAAACCTGCCCTCTACCAGAATCGGAAAAGCTGTTCATTTCGCGGAGTGATGCAACTGGCGAATTTAAGCCTTCGATAAGCCAGTCAGACGATGTCTCTCCATTATGCGGAAGCCAAAGTCAGCGTAGTGACGTGAAATTGAGGTGGACTGTCCAAGTTGCCAACTGGACAGTGTTTACTGGAGAGTCAACTGTCTACTCCAGTCCCCTAGGCGATAAACACACTCCACCCATCTGTGCGATTAATACTACCCTGATGTGGGTTGAGAAAACGCCATTTGTTCATCGCTTCACCATGCACCAGCTGTATTCCTCCTTACTCTGTTCTCCATCTTATGAGTAGAAATATGCACACGTCAAGTCGTCTGATGATGAATAAGTGTAGTCTTCAGTAGGAATAAGAAGTGAATTCACATCTGTGTGAACCACCACGACGCTTGACGCTTTGTGTGGCATCATTCACCCTTTCTTGATTGACTGTCGCTCATTTCGTGTAGAACTTGATGTACGACTGAGAAGTTCTGTCAAGATATTGACAGACAATAAGGCGTAACACAACACAAGATAAAATAACATAGTATAGCAAGCGCAGCATAATACAATATTCCTAATGAGAAATTCCATCTACTGTGTACATAAGTGATATGAGATGATGCAATGGTTACAAGAAGATCCTTCCTGTCAGCACAGGACACACTATGTCAGGAGTGAATTTCTCATTTCGAAATTTATACGGAAGCTTCTCACTGTCTGTGTTGACTTGTTTGAAGAGGAATCGGTCACCGTTTTCAGTCTGATTGTCACAACATGGTAGTCTCCTATTGTAGCAACAGAAGGAATGACGCGGAAGCAAAGGTATTTTTCCATTGATCAAACCGATCTCTATGTATATACAGTTGATATTCTTTAACCAATCACTGAGCGTGTGATTTTGATTCACATTAGACGACATGAAATAGGCTGTTCAGACATAAATAGTATTTTGTTTCTAATGCACCACTGAACTGGGGGAATTTGTGAGAGTAATATTCCGATGGAATAGATTGTCTCTATCACAACATCACATTTTGTCCACAATAGGCTATCGCTTAGAACACTGTTAGTAGTCGGAGTCAGTTAACTAACACATTGCATTCATTTATTCATCCATCCATCCATCCATCCATTCATCCTCAATACTGCACATCACAGAATAGACTGCATCCTTCCTATGAACTGATAGGACACATAATCGTCATCTAGAAGAAGATGTCAGTCAGTCAGTCAGTTGTCTAGTGAAACAGTGGACAGGGATATCTCCCCTGTGAGTGAGAACTGCTTACTTCTTGTCAGACATGAGAGCATTGTCAGCCTTCAATTCAAATGTATTCGACTAGATTACAAACAAATTCTACCTGACACGTCATCGAGTATGCTTCTTCTGACTATATGGGAGTACTGACTAGTTACTCACAACGTTGATCCTGCTGAAGCTGGTTATGATGATAATGATGATGGCGATCAATTTTGGCCGGAATATGAAGATGACTCCAATGCGTATGTACAAGACAATCGTGAGTGGTGAATGTAGTGTATGAAAGAAAGGCAGACACAGGATGCATTCATGATCACTAGTTCACGAAATCAGAACATCGCATACATTTCTTTTGAAGCAAACATCCAATGTACAGATTCATTGGAGTAATTGAGTCGGTGAGATGGAATGCATTGAGCATGGAGTGTAGAGATTAATGGTGAAATGCGTTGGTCCTCATCATGCCATTTCACTACAGATTTCCGACAACGAAATAAATTTGCCTCTCACTACAGTGAGTAGATGAATAGTGGTTAAACAGTTCGGTGGATGACTGTGAGTATCTCAGTCTCAGACTATGTGTACATACGTGTGTACATACACACTGGGAGTCCCTAGCTAACTCATACATTAGCGAATGACTTGGGGAGTATATTGTGGCTAGGTGATTTTCCTATCAAGTTGGTACTCACGCATATCTATTAATAGGATATTGATTATGTTGTGGGCATTTGTGCAGTATCAGTTTTATGAGTGATGGAACTTGCAGCATTTTTATTAGGTTTTCTAGTGACAGGAAAGCGAGAAAAATGGTGAAGAAGGATGATGCAACTAGCAGAATGTAACTGATAATTTACATAAGCGTGCAGATTTGATCGGTAGTCAGCCAACTACACTTCTATATTCTGAATTGAACAGACATTCAAAGTGAACTTCAGGTGAACATTTCGCTGGATTTCTTATGCTCTTGGTGATGTTGAGAACGATTCGGATAGTAACTTTCCCTATATTCGATGAGTTAGTGTGTATGTGTGTGTGTGTGTGTGTTTGTATCTATGGTAAGTGAGGCGATAGCAGTGCATAGGAGTGATGCTCTTATAACGAACTATTGATATTTGGAAACGATATAGCATTCATTTCGGACACTACAGTTATGAGTTGTGCGAGAGTCATCTTGTCATCGATGAAGACTATGTAATAAGTCTGGCTATATCGGTCAATCCCACATTGTGTGAGAATGGATACTTTGAGTACAATGCAAGAAGCGTTGATCTCATAAGCGCATCTTGTAGACAGATATCATCCTGAGATTCTTCTGAACAGGTCTTCCTTGTATTTGAAGGATGTCATTTAGCTGAAAGTCATTGTGATCAGTTTAACATTTTTAGTCTGAATATTTGGACTGAAAATTATTACCTCATTTTGATAGAGGAAAGTGATATTGGGATAAGGATGTGATATCAAAGCTGGAATTCAATAACAAACTCTGTATCAACAGAACATATTTACATCTAATTTAATATGTCGCCTCATCCGTTCAAAACTTATAACACATCCTTCAAATATGTCTCACATTGGTTAGCAAATATTAGGTCCATTGGTTGATAAGAGTCTTCAGGCATAACACATACTGAATCGAAAACACCTTACTACTTAATTACTTTACTATTTATATTTAAGCATATCAGAGTTATGCTCTTCCATTTTGTTGCCATACTGTTCCCAGACAGTCACCTCCTTACACTTACTTGGGATACAGAACTGTTAAGTAACATTTCCGGCAACAGGATGTAAGCAAATTACCGAGTTACGACGGCTGGTAACTCGAAGGAAACTACAAATTACCTACCCAGGGCAAAAATACTGAATCAGCTACACTGCGTATCTAATCATTTTTGGCTTGCAATATGTAAGTTACTTGGGTCTCTCTGTAATAATATTAGAAAGCATTCTGCTTTGGAAGATAAGTGGCAGACATCAAGTACATGATCAGTATCGAACCTCAACAACCAGCACCACAATCACATGTAGAAGTGTGCTTATGATTCTGTAGTAATTTATTGTAATCGGAATATTAGTATTTCGAGATGACCGAATTACAAGAATCCAAACAAAACACAGAGAAGGCGGAATTCAGGAATTTGTATTTAGCCGAATTATATTTCAATTCATATAAGAAATATTAACAATGAAATGCAAGTATTTAAACAATACAGAGATAGAAATAGTCAATCACCACATCCACCACACGTCGAATGTCTCCTTGCGTATTTATAATGATATCGCGGTTTGCTTGCCAGTCTCTGCGATCTTCTAACTGATTCTGTGATATCATTTCCATCAGTATCATCTAGACTTATTTCTGAATTATCTACAAAGTCAGGATTAGTAGCGGAGTCATTATAATCATAATCGGAACGACCTTCCTCATTTATTTTCACTTGATCCAAGTGTCTGTTATGAACTGAATTATCTTCAATGTCTAATAGCTTCACCATTCGATTTCCCATTCTTTGTAGTATGATACCAATAGAAGGTCTATAATCATTTCCTCTGTAATAATGTACATCAGAAGTCGTGGACATCAGATGCTTTCTGAGAATTCGAGATCTAAATAATTCTGCAGGACTTTCATGAGTACTTGTATGCTCCGCATTGCGATATTGAAGTAAGAAGTTATCCACACATCTCTCTAGCTCATCAAAATTTTGAGGACTCATTGATGCTATAGCACTCTTTAATGTTCGTACAAAATTTTCTGCCAACCCGTTTGACTGAGGATGACGTGGTGCTGTGTACAAATGACGACAACCTATGTGTTTGAGCCAATCATTGAAGTTCTTCTCCGTAAAATGAGTACCATTGTCAGTAACTAAGACATCTGGAATTCCTTCTCGACTAAAAATCTTTCTCAACGCTCTGTGAGTGAATTTGGCATTAGGACTATCTGTAATGATGACTTCTGGCCATCTAGAATAAGAATCCACAATAACTAAAGCATAATATGAATTTAAGAATGGACCACAGTAATCTGCATGAATACGCTGCCAAACCTCACAAGATGCAGGCCACGGTGTCCACGATGACTTCCCATAGGACATTTTATGTAAACAGCTAGAACAGCTCTTTGATCTTTTGTTAATGTCAGCATCAATTTCCGGCCACCAGCATGTTAGGCGTGCTAATGATTTCATCTTATCAGCTCCTAGATGAGCAGAATGTAGATCATCCAAAATCGCAGATCTTAATGTTGGAGGAATAATAATTCTGTCATTCAGACATAGAAATCCTTCAGGATGGACTGAAATCTCATCTCTTCGCTTATAAAAGTCTGGAAATCTTCGCTTACACTGAACATTCCAACCTCTTTTTGTTGCATTTATAACGCATCCGTAATATTTCCGAGTATCATTTATAAGTCGAACTCGATCCACCGGTAACGGCTGGACTAATAAGCAATCAGTATCATTAGCAACATTTTCAAATAATGAATAACGAGATAAGAAGTCTGCATGAGGTATATCCTTTGCCGATCTATGTTCAATAGTGTAATCATATGCACTTAGTTCTAAACTCCATCTTTGAACCATAGCAGCAGATGATTTATTCAAAGATTTTTCTGGATTGTAAATGAATTTCAAAGCTTGATGATCAGTAACTATGTGAAA